TAAAGAGACCATTTGAACTGTAGTGGCCTTTTTTTTTTGTTGCAACAAGAATTTTTGAAAACCGAACGCAGAGGAGGGAGGCCTATTTGTCGGGTGCTCTGGTGTGGTTTGCTCCTTCTTTCCTATCAAACATCTTTCGTCCTTCCTTATCCCTTCTCCTTTTTCTGTGTTTATTACTCTCTTGTAACACCTCTAATTTTTGGTGTATATTATTATGACCGGATTGTGTTGCAAATGCCGCAAAGCTTTAATTAAAATCTAAAACGAACAATGAAGCCTTTGGGCACTGCTTAGTTTCGACAATCTTCATGGGAAGTAACCCAGAATTCTAAATATTGTTGTGAATGTTCTCCCATTGTCAGTGCTAGGAGCCAGTCTCGCCGTACGTGAATTCCTTCTTATTTTTCCTCCAAGAAGTATTATTTCCAGGATTTGTAATCCCCTCTCCCCTCCCTCCCCCCTTTTTCATTTTCTCCTTTCTCTTCTACATGTTCTCTTTCCCGTAGGTTTTGCCATCTGCCTTCTCCCCTCTTTCCTCTTTGAAGCATTCCACATCCCCTACCCCCCCCCCAAAAAAAAAACACCCCAACCAAACAAAACCAACAATTGTTCATTCTTGATGTTCCGTTTTGTCAAGATCTCGAGCACAATCTGCTACAGGCTTTGCTCTAGCTGGTCTTTGTTTTGTTTCTTTTTTTCTCCTCATTTTACACCTAAGGACAACTACTGTGCATTTGCTAGATCTACCATAACTTATTTTTACGTTCACAAGGAAAGTATTAGCCAAATGCATCTTTGTGATTGTGTGCACTTATGTGACCTCATTGTGTTGCAAGTGCCGTTAAACTCTTACTAAAACTAAACTAACAACAAAAAAAAGAATTATCTTTTCTCCTACAAAATACCCTCTCCTACTTGCTGTACTCACGCACGAGTGGAAAGACTTGGCCCATCTCTTTCCTTTACGATGACTTACATAATTGCTGGCTGGGAAGATCAATGCGGCTTTGTTTAAGTAGTTATTGATCATTTATGGCGGACAGAGACGATGCTCTAGATTGGCGTGCTTGTGGGCTTCTCTCTCTCTCTCTCTCTCTCTCTCTCTCTCTCTCTCTCTCTCTCTCTCTCTCTCTCTCTCTCCC